ATAACACTGAGACAGAGAACAACAGATTGATGAAAAGAATATTAGTGACAGCAGTGGTGCCCATCCAACCAATGGAGAATTATAAAAGTAACAAAGAACTTTTCAATTTGACTTTTATTGTACCCTTCCTCTTTTTATCTCTTGCAAATCAACTTAACCTACTTCAAAATGTATTTGACTTCAGGAACTTTAAGCTTACATGTTGTATTAATACTTATTTTCTACTTTACCCATAAAAGAAAAGAATACTGACAAACTTTTGATAGATTTTTCTTTATTCCAAATGTTTAACAAATCTAAAGAGCATTGTGTTGTATATAGATAAATAAAATTGTTCTTGTATATTGATTTAACTTGATTTTTCTTTTGGTTTTTGCCCTCCAACTATAAATATCTGAAAATCTCAATTCAACAAAGCCTATTTCTTAAAGTTAGCAAACATATGCCAAATACTCAAAAGTTAGTCATCTTTTTAGACTTAAAACCCTCAGCTATATAAAAACTTGGTAACCATCAAATTAAATTAGAATAGCCAATTAGAGTTGTGTGTGTAAAAAAAAGATTTTTGGCTAATGACTACATTACATTGAAACACCAGTTATTGTATGATCACCAGAATTTAGCAATGTCGAGCCCACTCAGTACTTAGATGTGTGACCACTTGGGTATACAAGGTGCTGTAACCTGGGATGTGCAGGTGGTGTAATAGATAATGGCTTTGAATTGTCAATCAAAGAGCAGAGTTCCAATTCTCGTTGGGCTTGTTATATTTACTTATAAATGCTAAATACACATATGGATCCACCACTTCCACCCACAACAATGGGTTAATTAGTAAGAGTTGTATCCCTAAACCATTTTTATCACCCTACCACAAAAAATCCTTGCAACCTAAGAAAAAAATATATATTGACTGGTTTTAAATAACCTGTATAGAGTTGATAAGCCATAGAAAATGAATTAATCAAACAATAAAAAAAAGTTTCTAATGTCAGAACTTGAATGCTGTTTTTAGAGTGCAGGCAATATCTGCACATTATTTTCAAGTTCATAAAGATAGGTTGTTGGAAGATTTAACCACATGGCAACAGTCACATTCATTTAACAGTCACATTCATTGTACATGTCATAAGGAACATTTGTAAAAAAAGTAATTTTTTATATGACAACTTTACTCATATATTTTTAACCTTCCATTATCCCTTAAAATTTAAATTTTACCCCATGTAGGTAATTTACCGTTGTCCCCTGAGTTCTGTCCCTCCATCAAATCCTCTTTCTTAATTTCCCGAATCTTGTTTGTTGACTTCTGTTGTAAAGAGGCAGATGTTTGTCTCAGACTTTAAATTAGCTTTTTCCTTTTGTCCTTTTCATACAAGAAACAAATGTTGATAAGATGTCATCAACCATAAAGTAAATTGAGAAATCTTTGTTGAGATCAAATAAAGGGCTCAGTTCGAAATTCCCTGGAGGTTAACTGTATCAACAGACACCTGGAGAAGTCTGGAGGACTGAAAAATCAAAATGTTATGAAAACAACAAAGTTAAGAACATCAGACTAAATGTAAATAATGTAAACACCTCCACCCAGAAATGGGTTTTATTGTATAAACAGTTTATATGTGGTGAAGGCAACCATTGTTGTCTTCTCCTTAAAATACTCCAGTATATATAATTGATATGTCCCGGAAAGGGATATATTTGTTCAAAGTAGCAAAGTGGTTGTTGACTACTGTAACCGAGTAGGACAATCTAGCAGGTAACCGTAATGGACTGGTCCTCGTCGTAGTGGTAGGCAATAGGTGTAGGCAATAGACGAAGACTATAGGCGTAGCCAATAGGCATCATCCTGTACCTCCACATCAGTCTGTATTTATGGCTGACACCAGCCAATCATATTACTGTGAGGGGGAACCCAGGTGTATGCATATTCATTACATCAATAATGATTGAACCTCACATATGTACAGCGGTCGAATTGTTTTGAATAAAGTTTTATTACAAGCTTAGAGGTTCCTCTGTTTTCTTTACATCACATAACAAAAAAAAAAAAAAACCTGAAGCACTTCAACATGGTGTAATGGTGAGAAAGCTTGCCTTGTGATATCAATTGCTACTGAGTAGGGAGTTTGATCCTCACTAGCTGTTTCTTGTGTAGACCTTGTGTCACTAAGCTATGCTTAGTAAATCACTATATGGGCAATTCGTCATGGTGTGATGGTCAACAAGCATGTCTCGCTAGATCAGTTACAACTGAATAGTGAGTTTAATCCTCACGGGATGCACCATACTTTCAGCCTTGTACTACAACTAAGCTGCGCTTAAATCAGAATAGAGGCACTTCAACATCATGTAATGCTTAGCAAGCATGTCTTGCTAAATCATTTAGTGACATTGATACATGCTGGGTGCCACATACTTTTGGCTGTGTAGCACATCTAAGCTATGCTTAGAAAATCATGATGGGCACCTCGATGTAGTGTAATGGTTAGTAAACATGTATTCCTAGATCATCTAGTGAGTGTGATCCTCACTGGGTGACACATACTTTTGGTTTTGTGCCACATCTAAGCTACGATTAAAAAATCATCATGGGCACCTCGACATGGTGTAATGGTTAGTAAGCATATCTTGCTAGATCATTTAGTGAGTTTGATACTCACTGGGTGCCACATATTTTTGATCAGGTTATCAATGAAAATGTGTCAGGGTCTTGTATACAAATTGTAATAAAAACATATTAGATAAATGAACAATGTAATAAATATAGATAAATAATGAAGACTGTCAGTGAATCTTTGTTAACAATAAAAGTCTTTTCTCAATTGGAGCTTCATCTGTGGACCAACTACCCAAAGATTTTAATTCAACTAAAGACTATTTTACTTCTTTTTCAATTTTTTTGGAATCCATGTAAATATGTTTCTAAATTATATATATATATATATATATATATATATATATATATATATATATATATATGTGTATACATACATACATACATACATACATACATACATACATATATATAAAAAATAATTATTATTATTATTGTTTTCATAAATTATTATACATTATTATTTTTTTGAATCCATGTAAATATGTTTATAAATAGAAATGATGCATTTAACTGGTATAGCCATATTTTCTTTATTTTTATTTTATTATTGCTTGGATTTAAGACATTCAAATTTCTAATATAAAAAACCCCGAATGACTGAATTTCCTATAACCACAAGTCATTTGGACTGAATGCACAAAAGCATGAGATCTTATGAAAATAGAAAATACTGAGGAGACTTACTGTTACTTTATTCCTATTGAAAATGGCCAGAGGTTTGAACACTCAACAGGTAAAGAATAATAAAAATAAAGAATACAGAAGAGAGTGTGAGAATCGTTGGGATCTGCTTACCCAGGTTTTTGTTGCTATCTTAGTATCTGGATTCTAGACATTTAACAACAATAATACATCTTTTAAATGAAACATTAAAAAGGTTATTCACTGAAGGAAAAGTAGAAATAGAACAACAGCTGAAATAACATTGATATATTTTTTTCAGAAATACAATAGCAATAAAATGTGAAGTTTGTTTCATAAAGTAATTAAGTATTCTTAGTGCAATGTGAAATGTGTATACCAACTTACTTCATGACAGTCATCCTAATGTGTTTGAGTTTGTAGACAAAGGCTTAGTTGGTGGTTGCTGTTAATCCCTTCTATTATGTGTGTGGATATGGTCTTAACTGGGGCTGCTGACTCTCTTCCATTGTGAGCATGTTTGTGGGTGCATGTGTGTGGACGCACATGTAGATCAAACTGGCCTCCCAAATCAGTTTTGAATCTTGACAAGCAGTAGGCTTCTATTTTTATATCTGTAAGGGAAGTCCAAAATCTAATTTGACATACAGGTGTAAAGTTTTTGAATACAAGATTTTCATTGGTTAAAAAATAATGTAACACTGGCTTGCAAAAATCTTTTTCTCAAATTTGCAGGAGTGGTGAAAGGAATTATTATTGTTATTTTCTAAATGGTCCAAAAATAACATGTCTACAAGTCTCAAGTATTTTGGCAGTATTTGCCCTTGAAATGTTTCTTTATCCAACAAACCTGATGAGATGTTATTGGTGGAAAAATATATGTAGAATAATTCCTATAGAATGTTAAGGAAAATTGTTTTCAATTGCTCTATGACAAGAACTAGAATATACATTTTTTTCTTTTTTTAAAAGCACTATGATTACACCATGATCACCTATGTCCTGAAGAACATGGCGATCATAGATCTCCATAGATTCCTTTCTTCATTATCTGTGAATTATGTGAATCTTCATATCTAGAGTTAACCATTGCTTATTCTACATATCCTCATAATCTGAACTTATTTTACACTCCTACATCCATACAACAACCTAATTTAGTAGCCATCTACTTTGAGAGGCTCTTGGGCCTTGTATTGATGAAGGTTTAGTAAAAGAAAAATTGTCATGACTTCTTAGAAAAAGTGGTTGAATGGTTTCTCATTGCTTTCTCTGTGGTTTTGAATTCAAAGTTTTTTTTGTCTCCTAGACTGGCTGTTATTCAAGGCAAGAAAGTTGCAAAGATTTAGGAGATTGCAAAGTGAATGTATTGTAACTGGATTGAATTTGAACTCAGCTACTCACACATGTTACCTATATAGATATGACTCAACAAGTACATAAATCCCATAAAGAAAAAGTAAAATAAATAAATGCCTTCCTCCTTTTTCCTCTCCCTCATCAAATAATAAATATAGTCAACTTTAAAAAAATTAATTAAAAATAAAAAATAAATGAAGAATACCCGTGGATTACGCGCCCCTTATTAGTGGAACTCTCTTGTCTTTTCTTAGTGCAGTCGATACTACTATGTCGCCGTCCTAGCTGGGATACGTCGTCACTTGATTTTAGAGTACAACGTAAGAAAACTCGTTTAATTCACCCACTCGTTGTTCTGGTCATACATCGGAATTCAATCATGGCAGACAACGAGCAGAAAGCTATGCAACTTATGCAGGAAGCTGAAAAGAAGTTGGGATCTTCCAAAGGTTTCCTATCGTCTTTGTTTGGGTAAGGATTTTTATTCTTATTTTTGATCCCCCCGTCTCATCATCTCCTCCCACACGAATTTTATATTAGTTTCGGGATGATCATAAAAGTGGCAGTAGAATTCTATATTTACGCGGTTCAGGCCAATAACATATTCAATTCAACTTTGTTTCTTTTACTTCCTCTTCTTACTTTTTTTGGGAGGGTGGGTATTATTATGTTATTATTAATTACCACGTCTCATATTGTGAATAATACAAAATAACAAGTGATTAAAATGTCATTACAACAGTACATGCTATTTAAATAATAATATTAATAATAAAAACAAAAGTAAATATTTGGTATAATCACCCATTTTTACTCAACTGCTTTTCACCAGTACAAATTATGATAAGGTGGTCACATGACCAAACATTCTTTTTTAGTCTTTTGTGTATAGAATTAAGATTGGTCTGCAATGCGATTGTTTTTATAAATTTACTCTCAGAATGTTGTTTAGTTCGCTAAAACATTTTGTTTTAGTCTAGGGATACACTACAGTCAAATTCCTAAATATTTTAATTACACATAGTGATCAGGTTAAAAAAAAAAAAAGTTTTTTAATTACATTTTAAATCAGTCAACATTTATAAACAAAATTCAAAATTATTAGAAATGACTTTTTATTATTTAATTTTCTAAACGGGTTCACCCACTTTTGCTGTTTCTGAAATTGTGACTTTTTTTTTTTTTTTTTTAGATTCTTAATGAAATTTGCAATGGACAGCATTTTTCTAAAAATAGAAAACTCCTCCTTGAAAAAAATTAAAAGTTGTCACATTATTATATTATTTTTTTTATCCTTGTTACGCTTCGGCTTCTTTGACACTTTTTAAAAAAAAATTTAATTACTATTTAACTACAACTTTTATTTAATTATTGCAATAATTTTAAATTCTGTTAATTGTCTTATTCAGAGAAACTTGGTTGGAGCACCACCTTGAATCAGCTCCTTTTTTTTCTGGTCTGTTTTCGTTTAAAAATGTTTTTTTTTAAAAAAAGAAACATACATAATGAATTTGACTAAGATTTTATTTTTATTAAATTCGTTGAAGAAGTTTTTCTGATATTTTAATTTTAGTAAGGCGGTACGTGCTTAACTTAATGAAATTAACTCTCTCTCTTAAAAAAAAAATAAAAATAAAATTCTGTTTGCTTGCAATGGGTGAAATGAAAATCACGCTGTCAATTTAAAAACAATATTTGCAAAATGAAAAAAAAATATAGGAAAAAAGTAAAAAAAATAAACTGATGCTTGTAGATCACTTAAACTTGCTTGTCATTTCATTTGTGTTGGTCTTTAGCGCGACATTCATTAGCATATGTTGTTAGATTTTAATTACATATTTTATTTATTTGTTTCAGTCTCTATATTTACTTATTTATTTTTGTTGAGTGATAATGGCATTTGTGATGAGTGATATGTCGCTTGATTTTTGTACTCCCCAAGAAAAAAAAATATCAAAGTACAATTTAAAAATGACTCTTCGTTCTTTTTTTGTTTATCTATAGAAAGAAAGAAAAATGTATAAAGATTTAAAAATTAATCGCCTTTTTTTTATATGAATCATGGCTTATAAAAAAATAAAGCAAATATTTAATGACTTTGATTAAAATGACGTGGTCACTTTTTTGTTGGTGGTTTTTCGATTCAAAACATTATTTTCAACCCCCAAAGTTTCGTAGTAGTAATTATAATAAAAGTGCTTGTTGCTTTAAAGTAGAAAATTTTAGTGGGAGAGGCGAATAATTTCCTGTTTAGCTAATTTATTAAAGATTTTTTTTCATGTTATCTTAATAATTAGGCCACGAAATTAAAAAAAAAATCCATTTGAAAAGTAAGCAATTCAAATTTTAAAAGTTTTTAAAAACACTGCGGATAAAAATTACCTTTGAAACGGCACTTAATGTGATCACGTGACTCTTCGTCTTATGTTCATTTTAAAAATGACTGTAGTGTAAAGTTTGAGCATTTAAGCGTGAAAAACAAAAACCTGATCTGCTATTGTATTTTCCACAATGAAAAATGAAAATCCTTGTCTTTTTTTTTTTTTTTTTTTTTTTTACCATTTTTAAATGTCGTGTGCGTAAAATACTTTCAGATCCAAGAATTAATTTGCCCGAATCAATCTTCTTATTTGATAACTAACTGGAAACATCTGAAGACATTTTTAACGAGATAGTTCTTTGAAAGTAAAAGGCCAATTGTTTGAGGTCAAGTCACCTGTGCATTTTTGCAGTTTTTTCTTTTTCTCATTTCTGATAGTCAACTGGATATGGACTATTTATGCTAAAAGTTATAAGTCCTTTTACTGATTGACTACATTTTGGGAAGGATTTGTTTTTCTTTCTTGTGAATAACTGACTTACTGAGGAGACATAAAGCAGTTTTAACATTTATTAATTGTACACTGTACAGGGTTAGAATCAATCTGAACTCTACCTAGAACAGAAGAGGAGAAGACTGTTTCTTTTGTATCTGCTAAAGAATTACTTTTATGTTTATTCAATTGTTTCCTCAATCTCGAGTTGCTTTGAAAATAGGAATTGCAATATGAGTGGCTTACATAACTTAGTACTGGTAGTACCAACTTGTTTAGTCTTACTTACTTATTACATGTACCTATTTAAGAAAGGCATAAGATATTTTTTTTTAGATGTGACTGGGTATATAATTTAGTCAATTTGATTTTTAGTTTCTTTTTGTTTTTATTATTTTTATTAAGTATCCCACATGACAGTAGAAGATCTGAAAGAAAGGTGAAATGTTGTAAGAACCTGTATGTAAATTTACTGTAGATGATCTAGCAATTATAGCACTTTCTATATACTTTCAGCTTAGTAAAAAAAATTTCTCTTTTAATTAAAGGAGCATTTTTGAAATCAAAATTGTGGTCACTCATTACAGGTTTCTCCTATGTATTTCTTGTAGCAATTATAACAGGTGATACTGGAAATTATCCTTCAAGTTTTTGTTTTGTATTAAGTCTTTTATTGTTTTAGAATTAGTTGTAACAAAGTTTGTTTAACTTAGATAAATTCTTTTCAATTTTAGTTGTTGTTAAAACAAGATCTTGATCAATAAATTGAATGACAGCACTTCACCAAAGAATAAAAAATTTCACCCTGAGGATAAATTTCAGTAAACTTAAATAATACCTAATGGTTAAATCAACTCTGGCAGGAAGGGAGACAAGCTACTGCCACTGCTTGGAACACATCTATTATGCTGAGGAGTGGGAGTCTAATATCTTCAGAAATTTGTTAGCCAAGAATGGTGTGTTTAATCCTTGGTAGGACCACAAGAGTCAGTATAATTAACAGTTGTGATAGTTGGTAGGTAGAACATAGTTTGATTTGTTGGGTTTTGTTGAGACCATTTTACTTTTAAATATTTATGAGGCTTCTGTTTTGGATACACACACACACACACACACACACACACACTCATATAGAGGCAGCATATCTTCATTCAGACATGTTTCATTGAATAATATAGACATATTGTGTCTATTTATTTTTATACTGATCCTTTCCAGTTCACTAATCAGTTTCTTGATTTTAAGATGAAATTCATCAAGGAAGGTGCCATAGTTTTTTTTCTAACCCAAGTACTTTTGATCTTTTCATCAGCAATAATATAGGATTTTTTTTTTCTCTACAACTCTGTCACATATAAGGAAAAATTCTTCTTTTCAAATCATTAATAGGACCACCCCTCAAAAAGTTAGTCATTCCATCAAAAATGATTGCTATAGCAATCATTTTTAAACAATTTTACAGTGGCAATGGTTATATTTTCTATATGAGTAATCTGTTTTTTATCTATAGAATTAACTCTATTGTCACACGTAAGAAAGAAATCAGCCTTTTAACTCATTAAAAAATAAGAATATCCAAAGAAAGCTATTCATGACTCATCCCATCAAAAAAATGACGGCCATATTTGATTAATTTTGCAATTGCATTGGTTATATTTTCTGCGTGAGTAATTTATACTTTTTATCTATAGAATTAACTATTGTCACATGTAAGAAAGAATCCTTTTTAAATTGTTTTAAAGTTAAAAAAGAAATATCCAAAGAAAGCTAGCATTCAACAAAAAAAAAATAAAAAGCAGCCTGATCTCTCCTGCTTACTAATGAGTTATCTTGTTATAACAGGAATGTTTGCTTATTGGTGTCAAGTTACCATAAAATATGAATATCTTATTGCTAAGAAAAGAAGACCACCTTGTCATTGTCATCATATTAGCTTTTGTTTAGATTTGTTTAAAAAATTAGAAAAACATTTGTCATGAAAGTTAAACTTTAGCAAGATTTTATAATGTGTACACTGATGTAATCACTTTGACTTAAATTTTCATGTAATGTTGTCATTATTTCAGAAATTTACTTTTTTTTTTTACCTTGTTTCATATAGTGAAATTATTTATTTTATCACAAACATAGTAAATATTGGTATGTGACTTAGGTCTTGAGATTCTGAGGCTTAGATATAATTCTGCAGGATAGTTTGTACCTCTCTCTCTCTACAAAAATAACAACAGCACTTCATCAGACTAGAGCTCAAAGGGTCATGTGGAGAGAGTAGCCATAGTCAAATGCAAAATAAGTAACAGAACTGTCCAACAAGCAGAATTGACAAAGTTTGCAAGAGAAGAACAGGGCAACAAAATAATATAAAGTAAACAATATATGCAAGGCAAATTAACACTAATATGGCAAAGCAACAGTGATCTGCCAAAAAGTTCACAAAATAAGAATTAGGGTTGACACATAAGAGCAAGTTCAGACAAGTTAACGTAGCATTCTGAGTTCAAGAGAAGACAGAATGAGACTAAATCAGATGAAATTTATAAGTGGATTTTTTAATGTGACTTTATTTCTTATTGTGGATTGAGTAGCCATGGTTAAATGCAAAATAAGTAACAGAACTGCCCAACAAACAGAATTGACAAAGTTTGCAATAAGCAATAT